GTTCCGTCACACGGGTATATATATAATAAAGGATATTAGTATTAGTATTTAATCAATGGTAAATGCTTTATTTAAACTAATTGTAGAGCAGATTATCAAAGATATTGTCGATTCTACTATACAAGGCCAAACTCAACAGCAAGTTCAGGACAAAGATTGCTTAACAAAGTTAGATATTATTTTGATATTTAATATTTTTGAAGATCTTGTTAAACCTTGTATATATCTAATATTGAAAAAGGAAACTCTTCAAATAGTCTGGATCAAGAGATAACTTGAATAATAACTAGGATCTAGCAAACATCTCTAAGATCTATATATTGATTAGGAATATTCTCAGCATAGAGATAAGGATGGCAATGGAGGCAACGGAGGCAACGGAGGCAACGGAGGCAACGGAGGTAATGATGATTAATGGAAAATAATTATTCTACAAACTAGAAACTTGAATTTGTTTATTAAACTCTTTCTGATCTTTGTAGATAATCTTCCCATATAACAGTAACAATCTCTTCTCTTCTTTCAGAAGTTTTAGTTATTTCTTCTCTTGTGATATAATATCCTTGTCCAGAATGTTGATTTTTATCTAATTCGCCATCTCCATTATCAATATTATCAAAAAGAATATCAATAAAGACTACATCATCTTCAAGTTCTCCTAACTTAACCAAAATATTATACAAAATACATACTATAGTAACTATATAAACTTAAACTTGAATTTTGAAAGATCTTGTCTTGCCCAATATATAAAACCTTTTTTTTATAATCCCAAAAATCCTTTCAATTATATTCTATAATTACAAATATCATAAATTGGATAATTTCTTTTTAATCTAAGATCTCTGTGACCAAAAGGGTATAAACAGGACTCCGATTGTGTACTTAGAATCTACAAGTGAAGAGCTATGTAGGGTGCTAAAAGGAGGACTATATATACAGGTATTGGGAGCCATAAGGGCTAGGCCCAGAAGAGTGAAAGAGTCCTAGAGATAAGCATCGTACGATGCCTAGGTCTAGAGCTATAGAGCTAAAGCTCTAAGCTGTGAAAGGAAGGTTCAAAAGAGCCGTCATATCATACTATGTATGTAGTATGAGCCAGTGGGCGGAAGAGAGCCATCTGTTCCGTCACAATATTGCTTTGAGATTATTCTTTTCAATTAAAAGCTTTTCCAATTCTCTAAATCTTTTTTATAAAATTTCTAAATTATTTTGTATTCTAGTCGGATATCTATCAAATAATTTTTTCAACTATTTTTGTCTAATTAATTTCAATATATATTGATAATTCCTAGACCAAAAATGCCTTCGATTATAAATGAAAATAACAATTACAATAATTCCGAATTTTCTATTACATTTTCGAATCCGAGTTTTTCTAGGTATTAATAATATAGTTGATATAGGATAGGATAGAATAAAAGGGAGGGATGAGGAGGAGGGGAAAGGATAACAACAAGATAATCAAAAAGGAAGTAATAACAAGGTGATAGGATATATAACACCAAAATATTTAGATGGTTATTATCATTATAATTATTGAAATCATATTCAAATTGGGTAGAAGACAGTTTAGAGAGTGTTAATAAGGGAAGAAGTAGAATACGAGGGGGGTATTATATAATAAAATATTCTATTTTCTATTTTGGTGGTATATTTCCTTATATAAGGATTAATATATATTTATACTTCATTTTCAGATTAATCCAAACAGAATAGCCTTGAAAATGTGCATTCAGAGAAATGGAATACCAAAAAATTAGTGTGCACTTTTTTTTATATGGTGCATTTATTATGTGAGGCACGAGCCAAACGGACCCTAAACTATCTTGAAATGTAGATGTGCAACAAAAGCTTTTGAGGATATGTATAGAGGGTCTGATAGGCTGTAATGGAATTTGAAGTGAAGTTTGAAGGATGGAGTAGAAAGTAGAAAGGTTAGGGATAAGATTGGAGACAGCTTAATATGATTTTAATGAGTACAAATTAATCTCCTCATCTGCTGGGATATCACCGTCCTCTTTTCCCTCATTCTTCTCTTCTTCATGATCTCAAAATTGAAGCTTTTCATTTTGGTATAGACCCCTTCCTTGAGCAAATATCTTGAGATATGTACAAATCTCAGATATGCAACAAAACCTTTCCTGAAAGTATCTAAGATGTTTGATAGGTTGTAAGGCTGTAAGGTAAGTAAAGTTTGAAACTGGGTGATGGGGAATCAGGTGAACTTTATATTCATGATCTTAATGAATGATGTCTGAGGTAGGATTTCAAAACTTGATCTCCTCTTGAACTTAGATTCAAAATGATATGAATTGAAGCTTTTCATTTTGATAGGAAACCCTTCCTTGAATAACTATCTTGAGATCTAAATTTTGTAGATATGCAACAAAACCTTGCTGAGGAAATATACAGCGATTTATTAGCTGAAAAGGAAGTGAAGTTTGAAACCAAGGGGGTTAGTGATAAGATCAACTTCCCTTGATTGGTTCTCCTTATAAACTTAAAGTTGTTCTCCTCCTCAATACAGCTTCAGAAGATCAGGAAATGAAGCTTTTAATTTGGGTGTAGAGCTGGATTTTGGGGATTATCTCACGATCTGAAATTTGAGATATGCAACAAAACTTATCAGGAAGAGGGGAAGAAGAATTATTGGCTGAAGATGAAGTGAAGTGAAGTGAAGTGAAGTGAAGTGAAGTCTAAGTCTGATGGAGTGAAGTTCAGATTCATGAAGGCAAGGCAAGTTAAATTCATCTTGGTGAAGTTTATGATCCTCAAGATTGATCTCCTCATCAATACAGATTTAGAGGAACAAAAATGGAGCTTTTCCTTCCACTGTAGAACCCCAAAAACCCAAGTATCTTGAGATCTTAGAATCATAGATATGCAACAAAGCTTTTTGATGCAGATATATAGCAAGTACAGTATGAACTGTATAACATCAGACGACAGCCGACGGCAATGAGGTCAAAATTCATCTTGATACTCCAGATGAACTTCAAAGTTGATCTCCTCATAAATACAGATATCAAATTCAGAAATGAAGCATTTATCTTGAATATAGAGCTGAATATTGAGAAGTATCTTGAGATATATAATTCTCAGATGTGCAACAAAACTTTGTGTGCAGAAGCTATTGGTCAATGGTGGAATCTCTGAGTGAATATATGAGTGAATATGTGAAGTATATATGGAGTGAAGTTAGCAATGGTAGGCCTATCTTGATATTTTTGAAGAGCTTTGAAATTTGTGCTTCAAAGTTGATCTCCTCATCAATTGAGATTTGGAGGATAGACATGAGGCTTTTATTTTGGGTGAAGGGCTTGGTTTGGGATGTATCTTGAGATGTATAATTCTCAGATGTGCAACAAAACCTTTTCTGTGTAGAATCTATTCGATATGGATGGAGCAAGATAAGACTGGAGGAAGATAAGGATGCAGTGAGGGTGTGGGGTATGTGTTGAGTGAAGTTGGACTTAGGGGGAAGAAATAGAGATAGAAAGATGAGATCTATTTTCAGAAGGATCTTTCAAGCGCACTTTCTGGGCTCTCTATGTGATTGCTGTAATGTTACAACTCACTCGAATAACAGTAAGCTTAAGGTGGAAGACATGAAGTGATATTTTTGAAAACCTGGGATTGATCTTATGGCTTCACGAAGATGGGATGAATATTTTGCGAATGTGCAGGTTGACATAATTCGATGGGATAATATTGAAGTGCAGTCTACCATAAATTCAAGCCACGAGAATAGTTCCACCTGCCACTTGAAGCTTTCCATGCAGACTGTCCTCTTAAAGTCAATACCCCCTCGAAGAGGCGAACTTTGCTTCATTGGCCATCGACAACTTCGTAGGACATATTGTTCTATCAGTCTTGATATTTGTTAGACGGATCATCAGATCCCATCACGCCTACTTCGCCTAATCCCTTGATAAATTGGAGATATTGTCCGATGCTCACATGTTTCTACCAATAGCTCAAACTTTTGAAGCTTTATAAATGAGTCTCGGATCATATTGACCAAATTTATGTAATCACGTCTACACTCATGAACACCATTTAGACGCAACTTTTCAATATCATCACCATACAAAATCGGTAGAGGAACGAGGAGGGGCCTTATGTTACCTCAGTTTCGGGTATGCGCAAGCTAAATAAGTGAGGCCAGTACTATTCAGTTGATAGATTTGACCAAAATATTTCATGAAGAGAACGACACACATAACGTCCCGGCTGCCAGGTAAGATCTAAACTTCGGAGTTGTGTTGCACTCGCTAAAAAGGTTGCGAGTCTTTGATCCAAGTATGATCCTCCTAAGGCGTCTTGCATACGAAGCATTAAACCATTTTTGAGTGAATGAATCGTGTTTATAATTTCGCGAGTACATGTGCTCCGACATCGGGATGTTCAGATTGACGGAACAGTCAACCAGCAGTCGATCTAGGATGATTTTTCGGGTTGGGAAAGAAGGAGAGCCTTCTTGGGATAGTACTGTTGTATAGATATTTAGCGAAACAGGCATCTTGGTAACAGTCTGTGTTATATTCTGCGCAATGCAGAACACCAGTATTTTAACAACCTTCGAGAGATGCAAACTCCTATCCAAATGGTAGTTGGGCGGATGCAATGGTCATGGTCGACATATTGTAGCTGGGGAAATGCTGAGAGCAGAAGGTCAATATACAATGCTGGTATGTGCATCGTCGCGGCTGCTTCATCAGATACTTCACCGCTCGGTAGTTGTTATCGGCAGATGCATGACTTCAATTCATGAAGTGCGATGCTCCATTTAGATAACCATCTCTCGGCCGCCACTGGAGATACTGATGCATACCACTATTATCTGCCGAAAATGAACTATAACCTTCCGTTTCTCCATATTTCGATCGCCAGCATATATTTTGACATATCGCATTCGGGAAGCAACCCCATGAGTATCTTTGCGATGAGGCTTTATGAGTACAACTCCATCGTCGAATAATCTGGCAGTGCGATCGTCCAAGCTTGACAGGTGAGGCGGAAGCTTCAATTGCATGAGGGAGGTAGCAAATAAATGATCTGAATCAATAATTCAATCGGCAGAGGAGGAGTACCGGTAGGTCTGAGGAGATATCGTAACCTTATCATCTTGAGGCGAAGGAACTCAACCGTGCGATGCGCTCTGATATGATAATGACTCGATAACCTTACTCGTTGAGGGATCGCTTTTGATGGCAGGCCGAAAGGCCAACAAACGTAGGTGATTGCTTGGCTCATTATTATCAAGGCTTCGTTGGTGAACCTCTTGCTTGAAGTAGACGGAATGTGATTTACGAGTAAATACCAATACATTTCGTTGTACCGTATTACATAAGCATGCTTCACATACACCATGACAAGTTTCTCCCTGCTTCACTCTCATTCTTCATTTCATATCTGCTTCATATTTTCGGAAATTTAGATGCATTGCACTATGCGATGTTCAATTGTCCAATATTTAATATCCTCTCATCATCGTTCTACGTGTCATTCTACTCGTGTTTTCACAAGCATCCAATCGACTTTTGCAAACACATTATTTGCCAGCAGTACCTGCCTGCACATCACTCCAATGTCGACTTCAGGCTGAATATCAAATTTCGTCCCTGTCGTGGTGGGTGAGTGACCATTACGCTGGGCTTCACATTCAACCATGGTTGGCTACGCGGAAATGACTTGATCTCCATCCATTCCTCTGCCCCCTTTCGCAAGTTCCGATCTGTTTCTACTTCTACGTACAAAGTAATTCGTACTCGTCAATCGATAGTAGTGAACGGCATTGCCAAATGGTTACTTTGCATTTTTGTTCGTCGAGATGTCGTTAGATGAGGTTGACGATGTATAATTACACATGTACGACGGTGAATAAGTCTTGTTCAGTTACTCGAGTAGTTTGCACATGCTTCGGTCAAGCGACCATAATGCACTTTGTTCCGAGTACATACATACACAAGTAACCTCACGCGGAGATTGTCACTACTTCAACGCGACTCAACCCCAGCCATTGCCCCATACCCCGCAAGTCGCGGGTACTGAATCTTTGAATCGGTAGATCTTCCGAGTCCCGAGTCCTAGTTCTATAAGATTTTTCATTTTCGCGATACCCCGTACCAAGGCGACTCGGGGAGAAAAGGCAGTTGACATAGAAATCCCAGCAGTATTGCAGATCATTTCCTTGGGTAAATATGGACTTGTTGAATCATTTTTTTTTAATTGCTCCACATCAGCTACGGCACATTTTAGCTTTTCAAGCAAACCTTTGTAGCTCATGGAAGCCACGTTCTAAGGATCCCAAGATCTAATTAGGAGAAAAGGTGACCACATCACAACGCATTCTAATGTTAGGGACAGCCCTATATTTGGTTTAATTCACATAATTGTGTTAAATTTTGATCGAGATTGTTTGACATTTAAAATTCAGATGAATAATCCATCTGCATCCTTTTTTAATTGTTTCTGGTGTTCTTCAGCTCTTCATCTTACGCGATTTACGAATCAACCCTTGCTACAGGCCCTACACTACCTAAAATTGTAGCGTAATACAGGGAATATGCTTCTCATCCGCACAACCGCGGGGATGCGATCAGATCTCACCAGGGGCTTGCGGCGCAATATGACAATGAATATCAAAATAGTTTATCGTCTGGGCTCAGATCTATTTCGCCTTGTGATGACAAGCCAAGGGACATGTTTCCACATAGAGCTTTTTTCATGAGCTTCGGGCCTTTTGACGCTACTCATTCACTTCCCCATCTTAAAGTATTTATGAGCGCATGCCGTTCTTGGCACTGTGAATGGAGGTCCATATTATATCGTCCCTTCTTTAATTTTGACACCCACTACTTTAAGTAGATCATTCACACATTTTTCAGCACCTGATTGGAGCATATAGCTTGCGTCTCTTTACAGTATCATTCACGCCTCATTACTACCCCTCCTCTGACACCCCGCTAGCTATCTGCTTGGTTCTACAAAAGGGCTCTCTAGCTCCCCTCATCCGCGTCTTCCCTTCAAACACATACTCAACAACTCTTCTTCTCCTTCCTTGATTAATACAAATAGTCTCCCGTTCAGCATCTTCATCTGCAGTACGGTACCCTCAAGCTTCGATCAATACCCAAATCCTCTTTGAAACGCACCATGATGAAGACCTGTCTTCTGGCGGCAGTGCTAGGCACTGCTGTTAATTTTGTCTATGGATCTACGTTCAGCCCAGTGAGACCTCCGGCGATACCTTTAGCAGGTATGTTTCACAAGTTTTTATTTCCATGGTGATTCTAATACCAAGCAGTCAAATCACCATACATGAATACATGGTTGGAGTCTGGAAGTGTTGGTGGCAGTGGAGGTATTCTCCCGGGCTATTGGCCGTATGTTTCTTCCCTCACAAACTATCAGGAGCTTAAACTAACATCTGGTAGTCGATTTTGGGCGTAATTATAATAACTCTTGGCGTGTCTCAGAAAACATACGGTTCTAATAAAGTGAATAGGGGACCTCAACCTGATAATTCGGTTGCTGGCGGTGCTGGTTCTGTGACAGGTTGGGCTGGTCTCATCAAAGTGTAAGTGCTTCTGGCTTTCTTCTGATTCATTCTTGTAGACTCTCCGCAATTACCGTTTTCAAAAAGCAGGGACTCATAAAACCTTACATAGGGACGGCACGACTTACACTTGGATGGGTGCTGCAGGCGTCAATGGCGTCGTGCCACCAAGTGTTACACAAGATCATATGGAGTATACCTCCAGCAGATCCACATTTTTAATGAATGTAGCTGGAAAAGTTTCCATGAATGTAACATTTCTATCTCCGCTCACACCAGATGATATTCGACGACAATCAGTTATCGGTTCATATCTTTATGTTTCCGTGAAAGCATTGGATGGTGCTACTCATGCTGTTGAGCTATATTGTGACACATCTGCTGGTAAGTTTCGTCTTATCTCGACAAAGATTATTGCTCATAGATAATACAGAATGGACTTCCATTCACAAGACGGATACCGCACAATGGAAGTGAGTAGCTCTGACATGGAACTTATTTCGAAGAACTTTGTATTGATTTTTGTACAGTTACACAGTCGACAATGGCATCGCTTCCCACAGAAGTTGGAGACAAACTCAGAGCGAATTTAACGCAGATTATGCCGATGATCAAGCTCACTGGGGATCCTGGCTCTGGTCTACTAAAGCTGTCGCTGGCATGACATTTCAATCAGGGCATGACGTCGTAGTTCGACAAAATTTCCTCAGTAACGGTTCTCTTCCAAATACTCAGGATACAGTTTACAGAGCAATCCAAGATGCTTGGCCGGTGTTCGCATTTTCCAATAACCTCGGAAATGTTGGAAGCACTCCTGTCGATACCCTTTACACCATTGTTCATGCTCAACAAAATGCAATATATTTTCTTGGAGATGGTGGACTGAGGTCTGTTCCATCTTTATGGACAAGTTACTGGAATTCGGATATATCTTTGGTATGTCCATTATTTGTTTAATCCGATATCATGCTAATTCTCCCAGGTCTCCGATTTCTATAATGACTGGGTAAACAAATGGGGTGTCTGGGATCACAAATTTGCCGTCGATTCGCTTGCAGCCGGAGGTCAGGATTACTTGACCATTACTTCGCTTTCGGCTCGTCAAGCTTTTGGAGCTGTTCAACTCTGCGGAACTCCAGACAAACCATACTATTTTCTCAAAGAGATAAGTTCTGATGGCAATACTCAAACCGTCGATGTCATCTTCCCGGCCATGCCTATCTTCCTCTACTCAAACCCTGTTCTCCTAAAGTATCTTCTCGACCCGCTTTATGAGAATCAAGAAGCTGGCCACTTCCCTCAAGAATATGCTATTCATGATCTTGGCTCTAACTATCCCCGTGCTGTTGGGCATCCAACTGGTGATGGAGGTATGTATCCCCCCCCCCAAAACATGATAACCACATGCTAACCACACACAGAACCCATGCCTCTTGAAGAATGTGGAAATATGATTATAATGACTCTCGCATACTCTCAGCACGCTTCTGATACGGCATACCTAACGCAACACTACACTTTACTAAAGCAATGGACTACTTTCCTCATCGCTGAAGCCCTTGTCCCAGCAAATCAACTTTCGACCGATGATTTCCAAGGTACTCTCGCAAACCAAACCAATCTAGCTCTCAAAGGCATCATTGCCATTGAAGCTATGTCGGTGATCGCGAATCTCACTGGAAACTTAGGTGATGCGTCAAACTATGACAACATCGCACACAGTTATTTCACGCAATGGGAGAAAATGGCAATCGTTCCGGCAACTGCATCTGTTCCGGCACATACCAAACTGGCCTACCAAGATTCCACTGGTCACGGTCTTCTGTACAATCTTTACGCGGACACCCTCTTGAAACTCAATTTCGTCCCCAAGAGAATCTACGATATGCAGAGCGCATATTATCCAACCGTTGCTAATGTATACGGTGTCCAACTTGACTCCAGAAATGTTTGCACCAAATGTAAGTTTTAAGACGCGTTTTAATTTTCTTGTTCAGCTCTTCAATTACTAATGATATCCCTGAATAGCCGACTGGGAAATGTGGGCAGCAGCCATTTCCTCTCCCTCCACAAAATCCATGTTCATTTCCAAGCTCGCAACATGGATCGGTGTCACACCCACCGACCGTGCCTTCACCGATCTTTACAATACTCAAACGGCAGAGTAAGTTACACTTCCATCATTGCTTCTCTCATGCAGAGTATACTAACGCAATCACAAAGTTGGTGGTCTGGCCCCTTCATCGCCCGTCCAGTCGTTGGCGGCCACTTCGCTCTTCTTGCAATCGATGGCTCACCCGCTACAATACCTGAGTGAGGCACATGTAATCTTACATGCGACGCGAAATGTGATACAGAGAATGGGAGCGTGGCAGTCTAATTCAGGGCATAGATGATAATGAACCCCGCTATGATGCATGCATGAAATATGGGACACGGCGATATGATGATCAATTATGAAATTATGGGCCTCTTTCTTTTGGGGGATATCACGAATCTGGAGTTTCGGGGGAATTTTAACAAATCTTTTTCCTGCTCGAGATACCATAGCCTTCCTTACCTTTCTAATGAAAGAGTTTTGAACTCCACTCATATTTTGGTTTTAGTTTGATCCTCACTTCATTGATTCAAGGATACAGACAGAACTCTTCACATGTACATGTCTTACTTTACATCAGCTCGGATACAACCATAGCATGCATAGCATTGCATCTACAGTTTGGGGGTACAGGATACGCGGATGTACAAGCATTGGTATTGGCATTGCAAATTTTTTATTCATACATATAAGTTCTACACTCAATTCTTTGGGTATTTACGTGATACATACTATTCGGTACCGGTACTAGATTAACAATGGGGTTCGGTAAGGTAAATAAGACACATAAGACAAACAAGATAAACAATGATTCATGAGTCCAAATCACATGCTCTTTGCACTGAGTCAAACATTAGACATATCAATGTCAGATGATTTTTTGTCGTACAAGTGCGGTGTGGTGTAATCGGCACTTGACCTATTGAGCTACCTACATAGGTGGGTATTCTGTGTAAGAATGGGAGACTAGTGTGTGTATGTATGTATGTATGTATGTATCAGGTAGTTTCCCAAGTATATTGTACAGAGTATGCAGCAGCAAGCTACACTCAAGTGGAATATAAATTACCCCTGATAAGAAAGATACTTACATTGCGAATATAAACAGGGAGTAATATTAGTTTGCTAGCTAGCTACTGCATCTGCGTCTACATAAGTTGTGTGGGGTAAGGTTAGCCAGTGAGTGAGTGTAACGTTACAGTACAGCACCAACAAATCTAAACTACCTAGGTAGGTACCCCACTAACGTTTTTCCTTCCCCTCTCTCCCCCGCACAAAACCCATGCATATATCCATGTAACGATAAACCCCGGATTTTTGCTCGGAGTCGGAGATGTATGAGTTTATGTACGTGCAGGCAAGCAGGCAGGCAGGCGTGTTGTTTATGCGTTTGCAGCGTGAATGATATGAACTACTCCTTTTTTGTGCAGGTGAGGGTGAGAGTACATGAGGATGGGGGTTATACATGTATGCACTGGGTTGGTTATTGGGGTGGGGTGGATGTTGGGTCGATAAGTAAGAAGAATGGGGGACGGGGGATTAGATTGTTGGGTTGAGAGGTTGGTGAGTGTTTATGAGTGTCGCATTGTGTGTGTGGCATGAAAGAACTTTAAAAGGTAAGGCAAGGTTCGGGAGCTCGGCATGGTAAGGCGGGCAGAATTCTGGATGCAAACAATGGGTAGTGGGTAGCCGGAGGATGGGCGATGAGCTTATGGTCTGTCACAGGTATGTGGAATTCGGGGTTGGTTCATGGGTGCGGTTGATGCAACATAAGGCATCAATGCCCGAGAGATCAATTGATAGACGAATCTAATTTTGGAAATTGAAGAGTCGGTTCCAACTTGAGAGTTGATTATCGAATACAAGTCCGAACTTTGAAGAGTCAATCGGCCGCGAGTTCAGTTCCGGAAATTGAGATGGAGATTCTTGATTCTCTATTCTATGCTGCTGTAGGTATTGAAGCTAGCTCTTCTTGCTACCAGAGAATTTCGTGAGCAATTTGAGTTCGTAGTCGGTAGAGCTTAGCAAGAAGCAATTGGGGAGTGGAAGTCTCTCTCGTGGTGTGGTAACCCAAGTCAACTCTTTGACAAATTGGCTTTTGATATATGTTGGTTTGGACCGGAGAGTGTGTGTACTTGATGAATTTGATGTATGCCGTCATACTTGGAGACTATCCTCCTTCAGATATAGCTATTCTGGGTTTTCTGAATTGTCTAGGCTAGATTGACCAACTGGGGAAACTCCTTGTCTTCGATTTACTCGCTCTAGGATCTTGAATCCTGTCTTGGTTTGTTGCAGGTGGGTTACTTGGTGGTGGTTAATATCTTCGAGTATTGTTTGTTCCTACAGAAACTGACGTAGGGGCCGATACTACCATGTTCAATGCTGATAGTATGGTATTTTCATGTATCGAATAACGGTTTGCCAAAGCAGGTACAAACTAAACGATCGATGTATTGGAACGGTACAATCAAGGCCTGAGATTTTGGATGACCCAGGTAAGCCAATAGTAGCAGTGCCAATACTAGAAGTACTGCTAGCAGCACCTCGAATATTCTTTGAGGGGGAAATCTGGCGAGAGTATCCGGATCAAGCACGTTATCTGTACCCAAGCCAGGTGAGACCGCATCATAAACTGAGTCGTCAAATCCTGCTAACTCCAAATCAGGGTAATCACTCACACAGACCTCCTGACATGATGGGATCGGTGGAGTCTGAACGACGTAGGTACGGTCGTTGATGTGCTGATAATCTTGTTTTTGTGTATACCGTATTAACTGGTTAGGAAGATATTATCTTATAATAAAAAAGTTTGAATTTCCATAAGGAAAAACCATACGTTATTATAGAGTTAATATCTTATAATCCAGGTTGCTAAAATCATCGTTATATTTTGAGGCCAAGGAGTTGTCTTATCTTTAAAATGAATCCCTACTAGCTAAACCTATATATAGGCATTTTCAAGCATTTCCTATGTTTATATTTATTATTCTAAAAGTTATTGATGCTATGGTAAAGTCAAAATCGATAATTTAATATAATGATCTGAAAATTTATCCCCCTAATTTTGGGCTTGGCAAGATACTATTATTTTTACAACAATGACTATCTATTATTTTTATATATCCAATATGTATAATCGTGATTTAGATTTATATATCGTTTTTTATACTGTTTCATATACTTTTTAAAAGAATCAAAAAAACCTAGGGATTCAAAAGATAATTAGTGTGACGGAACAGACGGCTCTCTTCCGCCCACTGGCTCATACTACATACATAGTATGATATGACGGCTCTTTTTGACCTTCCTTTCACAGCTTAGAGCCCTAGCTCTATAGCTCTAGACCTAGGCATCTTACGCCTAGGACCCTTTCACCCTTTT